TGCCAAATTATCGTTGATTTCTTCCTTATTTAATTATTGGAGCTGAACAAGTATAGGTACAAGAAGTTTTGCACCAAAAACGCTATAAAATATATAAAAAAGAAAAAGTGTATTGTATTTAAAGAAAAATAATATCTTCGTATTACATACGTGTCGAATTATCATGAAGAATAAATCAAGTGTGTGAGTGTGTTGGTATGTGGGTGTGTGTAGTATAATTTAAATTTGAATTTTTCGTAATTAGACAAGGACCCATTGCATGACACTTGTATCTTTGCCACCTGTGGAAACAAACCTACTGTTGTCATGAAGAAACGATACATTCGTCACATGACTGCTATGGCCACCATGGGGGTTGTTTAAGCTCTGCAAAGAAATTTTAAAAAAATAAGTACCTAATCAGTATTTCTGGTAGGTACCTAAGTAAAGGAATGTCATAAATATTGAAATTACTATTAATATAGCGTTTATATTTAATAATGATGAGAAAGTTTGTGCATATTATAAATTCCTTTTTGAAGTTGCATTAGTGCGGTGGCAAAAAATGGCAACTTTTCCCAAAATTCAACTGCACAATGTATTTCCGATAATAAAAGTTCTTTTCCTTTTCAAGAAAATCAAATAGAAAAGTACTTATACTCACTCTAGTTATAATGGTAAGGAAATATTCGTCATCATAAAATTAAATAATATTATTTGGTGGAAAAAGGAATCACATGTTTAAGACGATTATTGGAGTGACCAAAAATGGTAACTTTGATCATTCACATTCACTAACAGAACTCCATAATGATAATTAAATCGATAATAAGACAAACACAACATTATTAATGCACCAAACTTTAATTGTTATTAATGAAATAATTATCATGGAGCATAAACGATTGCTAATAAACGGAATAAAAGATATAAGACGATGCTTTTGAGTTTTAAAACTAATTATTGTGGTAACTAAGAATGGTAATCATGCTTTTTATTTACATTTATATAAAAAGTAAAAAAAGGGGTACAAATTACCTTCTACTGTGTATAATAAAATTATAGGTACCTATGTACCTAAATAACTTGTGAAATGAAATAAGTGGCATACCTTTGGTTGGGTGACGGGGTACGTGTACAACTTTATTTTTCCGAAATCATCCCCTGTAACCATCAGATTACCTTCCTGATTTCTGTCACAGCAATTAACGTCTGTACCATCAGCATTTTCGGGCCATATACTTATTTTATCGGCATTTTTTCGAACACCTAACAACCCTGTATATTTTGTACATAACATAAACATACGTTTGTGCAGTATATGGTGGTATTCTTGAATTTATTATTAGTTTTATATTTTTGCTGTAACTTAAAAGTTAAAATTGCTTAGAATTTACAAAAGTATGAAAATGCCCTCCATAGCAAAAAGTTTGATAATTTTTCTGAAAAATTGTCATCATTGTTGCTTATACTTGTTCAAACAATTCATAACATTTGGTACAGTGCCAATTTTGTTTTTTATTTTCGTATTATCGTATTATATTCATACTGAGCAAGTAATGTTTGATGAATGTTTTTCTTAAATGTATAAAAATCTATAAACTAAAAGAAAAGAGTTGCTATTTCGTTTCAGTAAATATAAAACATAAAATAATAATGGGAAGACATCGTGTTTTAGAAAACTTTTTGTTGTGAGAGCCAATTTAATACTCTTATCGACCTCATCCTTTGTTACACTTACCTCTGCAATGACGTAAAGGAACATGTTAAATCTACATTATTTTGATTTAATATTAAAAAACAAAGTAAATACCAAAGCCTATCCAACAAACATAAAATAGCTATATAATTTTTATAAGTAGTCTTTACTGTTTCTTTCTTTGCTGTGTACATATACATATATTTCTTTTTGGTATAACTGAAAATTGTTTTGTTTATGCTTAAATTGCTGCACAAATTAGAAAGCTAAGTGGGAAAATGTGTAGCTGTAGAAGAGAAATATTTTTAGTTATTAGTATACTCTGTATAAAGAAAGCCTGAATACTTTCTAAGGATCATTCAATGAAATTGTAGAACTACAATACCAAAAATGCTTGTAAAAAAATAGAAGAAGTACATTTGAATTTAATATAGAATTTAAAACAATTTTTCTTCTTTCTTTTGTGGGTGAATGATACATGGGTCGTTTTTGACCAACAAAAACGCAATTCGGGCAATAAATTACTGTTATTTGGTAAAAATAAAGCTAATGAGAGCCTATTTAGATCATTTATTAAATAATCTTCGATATCGGATATCATTTAATTATGAATTAAGCGAAAAATTTTTACAGAAGTTCGATTTTGATTCCTATACGTGGGTCGATTGTGACCAAAAAAAAAAACCTAAAAAATACTGTAAATAATCCATTTTTGGCAGAAATAAAGCAAGTGAGAGTTAAGTTAAATCATTTATTGATTATTCACCCATATCAGCAATCATTTGCTGATGAATTAAACAAAAAGTTTGACCAAATGTTCGATTTTGATTCCCAAAAACAATCGACACGCAATGCGGGGAATGAGTTACTATTACTTGGCAAAAATAAAGCTAACCAGAACGTATTTATATCATTTATTCAATAATTTTCGATATCATTTATTTATAAATATTCCATATCGGTTGGCTGTACATGAATCGATTTGGATCCAAAAAATCCCAAAATATATGGTAAAATATCGTTGTTTGGGAAAAATAATGCAAATGAATGAGAATCACATTTTTATGTTCAAAAAAGGTATGATGTGAGTCATTTTTGCCGTCATTATAAAATATAAATAATTTNGTATGCTCCAACAAGGTCCACTTGTGTGGATATCTACTTGCTGAAAACGAATCCCGACGTAGCCAACCTCAACGTGATAGGCACGTTAGCTTAATCGAATAAAATAATTCGAAGTGTCGGAGCTGCCTGCGACGCGCTGATGAGAAAAGATCGAAATCGCGATCCGCGTCTGGCAGTTTCGACATAATACAGACCACTTCGAATTATTTTATCTTCGAGATCGTTCATGCATAAAGCCATTTTATTTTGGTGGCCATGGGTGGATGTCTATGAGAAATGTGGGCAACCAAATTGACCATGCCTGTCTGATTTATTCCCATACGTTTAAGGAATTCGACAATAGTTCCCGATAGATCAACGGATGACATTGTCAGCTATTGCTGAAATTTTAGAGGTACATTCATAGCGAAGCAGGTGCTCTTGAGTTGGTAAGGTACTGAACAATAATTGTTATGCTTTCATCGCAATCTAGAGAACAAACCATATTATATTAGTAGAGTGGACCAACATATACATAGTGGCAAAGTAGACCAGACTAGAACACGGCCAGCCTTTATAATTAATTGTCGCGAGACCCAGCGGCATGGTCTAGTGGTTTAGATCATTGCTTAGCATTCGGGAGGACGCTGGTTCAATTCTGGGTCCGTCTGCCTTAGTCCAAGTTTTTCTGTGGTTTCCTTGGATCACTTGGGTAAATGCAAGAAGAAGGAGCAAAGATAAGTGACAAAGGGTTCATATAGTGGTGAATTGATAACTAGAAGTGTTAATTAGACAGCAATTAGTTAAATAAAAGTGGTATTACTTTCGAGAAAATGTTTAAATACGTGACAATATTCGTCGTTAAATAGAAGGACTCGCTCAGAATTTCTTACTTTGGCCAACTTTTAAGACAAATAACATAGTTTGATTGTCAGTGTAAAAGAATCCGATTTTATTCGCATATCTTTCCTGATTTTGTTTAAAACTTTAAAGAACAAGAAACAGAATCCGACTTTTCATTATCGCACCACAGTCAGGCGAGCATTTTGTATAAATGAAGTGTCCGGGATTAACGTCCACGAGATAAGAACAATTTTCTTCGGCGAGGAAATGGACATGGAACTCCTCTATGCGATGGAATTTGTAGTTTCTCTCTCCTCTCTCGCGGCATTCTTCGCACGAAAAATCGCGCTATCTCCGCGAGCTCCTTATTGTTCTGGGATTTACTGTTCCTTTTAATATGACATTTTTATGTTTTATTTTCGCTTTCAGCGCTTCTTTCTCTCCCCTTCCATGCTCATCTTTAAAATACCAGGCAACGTAATTACATCGTTCCATAAAGTGCTCCGAGAAATATTATCACTATTGTTATTAGTAAAGAACTGACAACCGGCTTTATCTGAACTGATGCTTAGTACGTTCACAATCTCGTTGTTTCAACCGACTACAAACAGGGAAATATAATTTTTCCGGCTCTCCACTACAATGTACATTCAAACGGTTTCATCTACAAAATTGTTCTGGATTCAGAAATCTGTTTTTTTACTCACGATGAAATTAAACATTGAAACAGAAGCACTAGAAGGATGATGTAAGGGGGTACACTTACACCTCCCTGTCACCTTTCATGAAAGAAAACTACACCAAAAATGAATAAAGCAAATCGATTTCTCAATGAAGAAATGGTAGAAAAGATCGACTATTCTTCGTCATTTTCAGATAGTTGATTTACACTGTAGACCTGTCTTGCCAACAGTCAAATGCACTTAAATTCAACATCCAGATAATGTGTATTAAAAGAAGTTCATGCAGTAAAAAAAGGTCGTGCATAATAAAGCTTACTAAGAATAATAACAGGATGGACAAGTAAATTAACTAAAAGAGAGAGACAATCTTAATTACCAGAAGTAATTTTTAAAATAACGGACATGTGTATCGCAAAATAACTGAATTGTTGTATAGCAAAATATTGTTTACCATGTCTATGTAAACAATATTTTGCTACCTGATTTTAGATACCTAGGAAGTCAGATATGTCAGATGGAAGGAGTAATAGGGATATAAAGCAGAGGATAGCGCAAGGTGGTGTCGCCTTTAATAAAAAGAAGTCACTTCTTTGCTCACGAACGGTTACTTTACAAATTCGAAAAAGGTTGTTAAAGGTGTATGTTTGGAGCACGGCATTGTATGGGTGCGAAACATGGACAGAAAAGGTTAGAAGCGTTCGAAATGTGGTGTCATAGGCGGATGATGAGGATATCGTGGGTAGAAAAGGTTAGAAATGAAGAGGTATTGGAAAGAATAGGAGAACAGAGGACTCTATGGAAGTCAATAAAAAATAGGCGAGATAGGTTGGTAGGACACCTTCTTAGGCATCAAGGTCTAGTCAGAGACATATTAGAGGCAGAAACCGGAGTTAGGAGGGGTAGAGGTAGACCTAGATTAGATTACTATTCGCAAATAGTTAAGGATGTGGGCTACTCTAGTTTTAGGGAAATGCGAAGTTTAGCTCAGGGTAGGAAAGAGTGGAGGTACGTGTCCAACCAGTCTTAGGACTGACGACTTTATAATGATGAAACATGACTTAACAAGTAGACGCCATGACAGCGGCGTACGTTTTGGGGGTGAATTTTAAACTGACAATATTTTTCTTAAAAAAAAAACCGATATTTCTTGTAGAAATTAAACATTTTTTGACACAAACCTTGACATCCATTACGATATTAGCGTTTTTTTTTTCAGAACTATTCACCAATTTTGATATTGTAGATTCGATTATTAAAATAGTTTTTAGGTAAAATTAAAAACGCATTAGGAGTTAACTTACAAAGGAAAACCTCCAGACTTCCATTACTTAGGGATAATCCGATACAGTGAAACCAAGAAAAGAACCAATAAAATATACATTTACATTTTTTTACAGTCTAGATCTAAACACAATACTTTTTCTATATTCGTTAGATGTATCTGTATTATTGATAAGAAATATTAATATTCATCAATAAGACTTTACTTTCTACAATACAAATAAGGCAATAATCTACTTATTTTTCAAAGAGGTAGATTCAAAATTAGCTCATTCGAAATCTGCCACGAATAAATACAACAAAAGACTGATTTTCTCAGGCTTCAGAAATTTTATTCCTACCAATTATTCAATCGGAACGTTTTCTTATAAAAGAGAATTACTTAGAAGAGTCTCAATTTGTAAGACCTAATAAATGAAGCTCCTAACTTGAAGATTATTAAAAATGAATTGATTGGAAATCCAATTTCACAAAATATTATAAATACCGACCAACAGTTACCATTATTAAAGATAAAAGATATTTTTGTATGATATGACTTTCAGAATAATGCACATGTTTGTAACCAAAGTGCTTTGTCACTCAAAAGAGATACTTGTCAGTGTAGT